TTTTTTTTTGAGACAGGGTCTCCCTATGTAGTTCAGGCTGGCCTTGAACTCACTATGTAGCCCAGGCTGACCTCAAATTTACAGCAATCCTCCTGCCTCAGCCTTCTGAGTGCTGGGATTACAGGTGTGAGCCACCACACCCAGCCTACCCCACATATTTCAAATAAACTTTTTGGCACCATTATTGGCTTGTCTTGTCCAATTCTTTGCTTGAGGCAAGAAGGATTTGGAACATTTTTGATCCGAAAGCCTTTTTTTTTTGGTACCAGGGATCAAACTCAGGACCTTCTGCTTTTGATACAGGCAGCGGAACCACTGAGCTAAATCCCCGGCCCATGGCAAGCCATCTCTAAAGAAACCACCCTGTAACAATTGGCAAGCCAGCCAGGAGAAAATATTTTGGCGTGGCCAAGCATGAGAATAAAGCTGAGGTATCAGAGACCACGGCAAGGCCCAAGGTGGGAAAATTTTTTGTTTCACTCTGCAAGGTTTCTTTTCTGCTTCCTCCCTCCCTCTCTCCTCTTAAACTGGGAAGGGATGAGAGACCCTCTTCTCAAGGAAGCAAGGAATCCCGGGAAGGAAATGTAAGCTTTGGTTTTTCTTCCTAGCCACTTGCATTCACTTTGCAGGTATGGGCTGTTGTCTGTGCATTTGTTTGTTATGTATTTTGCTAAATTGGCCTGGTCTCCTTGTACCCTAATTTGTAAAAGGCTGTTTCTTGGTTTGTGTTTTGGTTGAGGGTGCCGCCATGTTGTCTTGCCATGTGGCCAGCAGCCATGTTGTCTTCTTGAGTGACTGTCCAGGACTTTTACATGAATGTGCATCACTAGCTGCTACCATCTTTTTTCTCTGTCTCTTCTTTTTTCTTTTTCTTTTTTTTTTAGATAATTAACCTTGCCAGCTAAGCCTCTAATTTGACAGCATGTGGGCTTATAGAGAGCAACAGAAGGAAACTTTTTCTTCCCACACTAAAAGTGAAAATGTAGGGCTGTGGTTTTAGCTCCTTGGCACCGCAGCCTCATAAGCGCAAGGTCCTGAGTTCAATCCCCAGTACCAAAAGAAAAAAGAGAGAGAGAGAATCAGAAAATAGTGTACTATCCCTTTAAGAACTCTTACAGCAGGAGGACAGGCAAACCTCAGTGCTTAAGGCAGGGTGGATACAAGCCTGCAAGCAGAACCCAGGCCTGCTTCCATCCCAACTGGGGTTCAGTCTTAGATGGCTCAGGGTGTGGGGTGTGTCAAAACTCAAGGAGAAAAAAAATGTCCATTTAAAAAGTTGAACCCAGGGCC